TCTTTTTGAAGGTTTCAAGTGCAGGTGAGTCAGTTTGCGTCGATAGCTTATGAACTTTTTATTCTAGCCACCACCAATGAGCGTATTTCGATAGTTCTGCACCTATGGAAATCCGAATAATTAATTTGGAATCTAAACGGTACCGCGACCTAACTACTTGCCTATTTTGCGGTGTAGTAAACATGAAATGATTGGCAGAATTTTGGTGGTGAAATGCTAAATGATAATTAGTTGCGGATCCACTTTATTTTTTTGGTGACGCTTTCTGAAATCAGATAACAGCTACTTGAAGGATCGACAGTGGTGGATTGTTTGTAAAGTCATCTGATATACTTACCCTGAGAATATTAACGTACACGTACCGTCGATTCGCAGTTCCTGCCATAATTTATGTAGTAACTGATTTCACTATGTCCATTATCAAATCGTCTAAGGTAGGTCCAAATGTCTAGCTATATTTCGCAGACAACTTGTTTGAACTATCTGGCAAACGGTCGTGTCTCTTCCGCCTGTAGCCTTCTTCCGACTATATCAACACAACAGGGCCGACATGCTAAAAGACTGCATGCTTGGGCCTATAACAATGATTTAACCAATGCTGAATCTGCCAAAGTAAATCCCAATTTCCAAGTGCTGGCCCAACTAAATGTTCTTTTAACCTAGCCAAAGGGAGAGTATTCGGTAACACATTAAGGTTCCCAAATCAGACGCAAATCATGGAATCAACGCTTTCTTTCCTCTTACGTCGTTTTGTGTCCTTGTAACTTAGCGTAAATGGCTAATTTATGGACTAATTTGACCTTTTCTTGTCGCTGCAGGTTGCCCTGGCTGTTCCCTATTCTGCGTCCAGAAGACGCCGTCCAACGAATGGTTGAGGCTATTCGTCATCGGGAAAGAATTCTGTACCTCCCCTGGTGGATGTGGTTTATACCGCTCATTCATCGGTGAGTAGTATGTGGATTTGGCATTCTTCACATCACTGACATTCAGACTGTGACATTACATCGTGCTGAGGAGTTAACTTTAACTGCATATTTGTACTTCAAAGTTAGTGAATAACCACTTGGCACGCACTCATAGTAAACTAATGTGTAGAAGACGTGTATTGCTTACTAAATAGGCCCATTTTCAAATAGCTGTCAGCATTTGTGTACATTATGTATATTTTTAATTGCTTTAGCGTCCTGCCCTATCCGCTGCTTCGTCTGTTCTTCATAGTCATTGGCAACTTCCATGCAATGGATAATTTCAAACGCGCCAACATGAACCAAGACTAAATCGATTGCTCTGATTCCGTAATCTTTTGCTTTTGAACAGTTTGATTAATCGCAAATCTTTTGTGATTTTGCCTTTTAAATAAACCAGCTTCGCATGACTCTCCGCTATTCTGAGTCAGTTTGGGTGGAATTCGTCACATGCTCAAACGCCTAGCTCCTTAGTGCCTTCAATAACCCTGGCACCACTGACCTTGATGCTGGTTGGGTTGCTAGGACTGTGTTGGTTGGTAGCCTTCACCGAGCGTGTTCCTCCTATTGGTTAATCGTATTGATCGGGTCTTCTAGCAAACGACTGGGGAACGGGCATTTGCCGTCTTCCTAACCGTGAGTGTGTGTAGGTGGTAGGTAATGATCAGAAGGGGCCGGCAAGTTGTGGTGTGAGATGGCTGCGAATCTACCACTTGTTTGTTGCACCATAAATCATCGTGCCATTTTAAACAAAGGTCGACATACTGGAGATGAGTGAACTGTTGACATTACGTCCACTGTGTACTTTTGGAAATCGCAAGATTGCAACGGTGGGTGATTTCTGGATTTGGCCTTATAGGGTGTATGTTTCAAGGAAGCTGTGTTGATCTTTGTTAGGCAGTCAGGCCCATCACTTTGTAGTCTGAAGTAACTAAACACACGCGAATTGATTGTACACCACCAACACTTTGGTGTCTTCTTGAGACACTTTCGGCCAAACGGGACCATATGTTGAGGCTTAGTTTGTACGTCACAACGAGCATTGTGACAGTAAAGTGGCATTCAACACGTCTAACCTTGGGCAATTTAGCTTTTACACGGGCGAATTCGAAATCTGGTTGTAGTGAACACAACAAGGACGAATCATTGAAGTCATGGAAGCAGACGGAATCGGTGTCGATTCGTCGTCTTACCATCCCGTTCGAGTTGACCATCGTTAAGTTCCCTCAGGATAGAAGACAGGCAAGTTGGAGAGCCTTCTTTTACTCGAGATGATCGTCTGGCGCCTTAAGTACAAACACTGGCAAGCTCTCCTGTAAGTGCTTAGCAACCGTCGACAGACCGATGGCTTCGAATGCGCCAATGAGATGGCCAACTCGATGGTTGGATGAGGAGGAGGTGGAGTCGCGCCAGCGCAAGATCGTCTGCAACAGGAGATTCAGGAGACAGGCGTACTCCACGTTGGACGC